GATTCAGAGCGTATAGCTTTTAGCAGAGAGATTAACAGGATCAGCACAACTGCACTTCTTACCAAAGGGACCTCCCTCACTCCAGCTGGACTGTAGGCTGACTCCAGCCTTCCTGCTTCCTGTCTGTGTGTCCCCAAGACAATGGGTACCAGGCAAGCTAGTCCCAGAGCCCCCATTCTTAACCTCTCTGAGAGCCTCGCATGATAATGGACTGCCATCCTTTGCAGTTGATTGGAGATTCCAAAAAATGCTCTTGACAGCACACTCATTTGCGGAGCTGACTTTGCAAAGGATTGCAAAAGTCATTTGACTCACCCACCTAGAAAATGTTAAGCCTTCCCTTTGCATGCAGGCACATGCACACACGCGTGCGCACACACACACACAATGTCCTACTATTAGCAGAGACTTCTGGTGCAAGACTAGAGACTCCCTTTATTTTTCCCAAGCAAAGGAAAAGACAGAGATCTCAGGGGAACACGGCAAAGGGGGGAGTCCAGGATCCAGGGATGAGGTTATCCGGGCAACCATCTTTGTCTCCTCTGAGTCTCTGCACCTGTTGCTGTCTTGATGCTCTCCTTTATTAACTGTTCCTTCTCTACAAGCCCAGGTCACAAGCCAGAGAGATAGAGGCCGATTGGCCTGGCTATTCAACACTCAAGAGTATCCGGGGTGGTCCAATGCTCCTGACAGCCATCAGCTCCTCTCCCAAGAGGCAGACACTGTAATCAATTTCCTATGTGTTGGCTGGGCACCGTGGCTCACTCCTGTAATCCTAGCACTCTAGAAAGCCAAGGCTGGTGGATCGTTTGAGCTCAGAAGTTCCAGACCAGCCTGAGCAGGAGCAAGAACTCGTCTCTATTTTAATATATAAAAATTTTTTTTTAAATTTCTTACGTGTTCTTCTAGAAATATTCTACAGCTCTGGAACTATGCAGAACACATATGTTCTATCTCCTTTACCCACCCATCCATCCTCCTCCCTCATTTAACATGATAGCATACAACACACATTGTTTTGTTCCTGATTTTTTTTGTTTTTTATTTAACAACATGTCTTGGAATCATCCTTCCATAGCAGGACAGGTGAATAAACTTTGTTCTTTTCTTGGCTGCATAGTATTCCATTATGGATGTAGAGGAACATAATCCTTTATGTGAAACCTTTAGGGCCAAATATGTTTCATTATTTAGATTTAGAAAGTAATACCATCCCATTAGGGCCTGGAAAAGCACTTTATAATCAAATACATTAATATATATACAGCAAATATGTCTATTCTTACTAAGTGGGATAAAGGCTATAAATTTCATGTCAGTTCAGATCAGTTTTTGTTGTTGTTGTTGTTGTTGTTTGAGACAGAATCTCACTGTGTTGTCTGGGCTAGCGTGCCATGGCATCAGACTAGCTCACAGCAACCTCAAACTCCTGGGCTCAACCAATCCTCCTGCCTCAGCCTCCCAAGTAGCTGGGACTGCAGGCATGTGCCACCGTGCCTGGCTGATTTTTTCTCTATATATATTTTTTAATTGTCCATATAATTTCTTTCTATTTTTAGGAGAGAATGAGGTCTCAGGCTACTCTTGCTCAGGCTGGTCTCGAACTCCTGATCTTAAACAATCCACCCGCCTCAGCCTCCTAGAGTGCTAGGATTACAGATGTGAACCACTACACCGGCTTTCAGATCAGTTTTTGCTATGAAATAAATGTATTACTAGTTCTCAATTAATCAATATCTAGGCAATTCATAGTCTTTTGCTACTGTAAGAATACTTTGAAGAATATTCTAGAGCAGACATCTTTGTGTACATGAGCAGGAATAGCCAAAGGTTAAAATTTTTAAAAGTAGAATTAATGGATGAAAGAGTGTGTCCTTTATTTAAATTGATGTTTCCAATTTATCTCCTAACAGTGCGTGAAAGGGGCAGAGCTTTTTGTTCCAGGCAACTCCTAGAAGACTGGCCAGAGTCAAGTGTGGCTGTCCTTGGCCGAGGTACCCACAATGGAGCAATGTAGTGGCCACCCCTATAGTTAGTTCCCTAGTTTACTTGTCTCAGAGAGGGTGGGAGCAGGGAAGTTCACCTTGACTTTTGCAAGCCATCACTCATGGCCCTTAACTCAGAGAACCTGTCCTGGCTGCTTGCAGGAGGCCAGTGGGACTGACGACTCAAACTGTGAGTGTCAGACTCCACTAGCAAGCAAACAGCAGACACTTCCTTCTCTTTCCTCAGCTCAGTTCTCAGTGTTCTTGCCTCTTCAGCCTCTGGGGACTCAGGAGCTTTCCCTTCCATATTTACAGATCTCAATTGCTTTGTTTAATTTTTTTTTTTAAAGGAAGAAAGAAAAAGAGAAAATGCAAGCGGCTGGTGCTGCATTACAAAGAGCCTGATATGACAGCTGACATTCCAAGTCTGCACTTTTACCGGAATGAAACCTTTTAGTTCCTATTTCTGGGCAGAGGAAAACTAAATATATTTTAGATCCAATTGCCAAATGCATTCCCTGTTGAGAAATTATTGTTGTCAGTCTTCCTGCTCCTTGAGGTCTTTGGTCTCTATAGCTTTGAGAACTTGGAAAATGGGGCCCCTGGTAACATTGACAACTTCTGACTTATGCAGGGCAAATAGGCACATGGCAGGGTTGGAAGCTGTGTGGTAAAGGAGTTGAGCCTGTGAACAGCCTGGATTCCTAGGCTAGCTGTGCCACTCGGGCGAGTTACTTACCCTCTCTCTGACTTGACTTCCCCTCCTAGAAGGTAGGGATGGTACAGAACCTGTGTCACAGGGTGGTGGTAAGGATTTGGTGAGTTCATAAGTATAAAGTGCTTAGAACCGTGCCTAGTACATACTAGGAGCTCAACAAATGTTAAAGATTATAATTTAGGACTGGCAGGGGCAAAACAGCCTGTTTAAAAAGCTAATTCCTTCAAGGCCAGGCGCAGTGGCTCACGCCTATAATCCTAGCACTCTGGGAGGCCGAGGCGGGCAGATTGCTCGAGGTCAGGAGTTCGAAACCAGCCTGACCAAGAGCGAGACCCCGTCTCTACTATAAATAGAATAAATTAATTGGCCAACTGATATATATAGAAAATATATATCAGCCGGCATGTGGCCACATGCCCTAGTCCCAAGCCACTTGGGAGGCTGAGGCAGGAGGATTGCTCGAGCCAGAGTTTGAGGTTGCTGTGAGCTAGGCTGACGCCATGGCACTCACTCTAGCCTAGGCAACAAAGTGAGACTCTGTCTCAGAAAAAAAAAAAAAAAAAAGCTAATCCCTTCAAAGTCAGAGGTAGCGAAATCTTGCCAAGAAAGAGCAGGACTTGGATTGGACCAGGGTTCCTCACCCTTTGGTGGATGGAAGCATGGCACATAATCCCTCCCTGTTGGAATGACTTGCATCTGAGTCTCCAGTCGACCCCGGGACCCCTGCAACCGGGCTGGGCGCTGCAGGAGGCATGTACACAAACACAGTGCCTGGATCCCAAGTTTAATGACAACAAGGCCAAGGCTCAAGCCTTGAAAAAGCAAAGAGAATCAATTTCTGATAAAATGCCAGGCAGGAGATTGACATGTCTAAAACCTTCCTGGTATCAGCTTAGCTTCCAGCACAAGATTAAACTCTAGGAAAAACCCATCAGAGAACTGCAATTTGTGACCAGAGAGAGATAATGTTGACAGCTTCCCCTTCCCACGTCTGTTTTGGATAAGCAATGTGCCCTTCAGTAGAGCATCATCAAAGTTGTCTCTATCCTTAGATCTTAGGCATGAAATTGCCTTTAAAGTGTCTCTCCCTTTACCTCCTTCCTCTACCCTCCAAAATCACTTTATGGAACATGCAATATGATTGGTAAAGAGAATGGTACTAAGAGTAGTTGGCTGCACATTACTCATGAAAGGTATTTCTTCAGGCTAAAACACCCCTGTGAAAACTGTCCCTTAGTCTGGGGACACCTCTGGAGGGGGCAGGACAAGGGTCATGAAAGTGCCAGACCTTGTCAGCTCCAGTCCAGGCTGCTGCCTCTGGACTGGCTCTCCCCTTGCTGGGTTACCATTTCCTCTGTGGTCCCCCAAGTCTGACAAGAACCAGTGGTTCTATGACTTCTATGACTTCAACTTTTATAGGGTCCACAGTGCATGTCTCTCAGAGTCTGTTTAAGTGATAGAATCCCTCCTCAAACCAGCTTCAGCCAAAAAGAGAATTCGTTGCCTTACTTAGCTGAAAAGTTCAGGGCTGGACATCAGGCATGGCTTGATCTAGGTGCTCTGATTCATTCCCTCTTACTCTGCCTTCTCTCATGGCAGATCCCTTCTCCAGCAGGCTGTTCCCACTTAGTGGCAAGATGGCCACCAGTAGCCCCAGGCTTATAGCAGAGAGGCCAGATAGCCTGGTGAGGGGGAAGGGGGGAAAGTTCAGGCACTAGAGCCAGAATGCTTGGAGATGAATCCTGGCTCATCACCTACCCAAGCAGCCTAACCACTTCTGAGCTTCAGTTTCTTCCTATGTAGAATGGGTACAGTAACAACACCCTCCTTATTGGGCAGTCATGGGTGCCTAGAACAGTGCCTGACACTTAGTAAGTCCTGAATAAGTGATAGGTGCTTCTTCCTCCTCTTCTCCTTCCTCTCATTAGTGTAATTCCCTTCTCCTTCCTGTCAGTGTAATTCTCTCAGCAACTTCAGCAAAAGGGAGCATCTCCAAGGGTGACAGTCCAGCCAAGTCCCCCGATTGAGACTGGGTGGCCAGTCCAGGGTTGTGTATTAATCCTGGAGATGACTGTAGGCTGGGGTGAATCCCATGCTCAACTTATGGGAAGGAAGGGATGTTTTCCCAAAGGAAAATCAGGAGACTGTTGCCAGAAGAAAGGGGACAAGATAGTAGGCCGGTGAAAAACACATACTGTTCCCATCATGGCCACTAGGTGATGGGAACAGTAAAACAGACAGATTGCACAGTTGTTAAAAATTGCATTCACATCCATTGTCTTGTTTGCTCCTCACAGTACCCTGGCGAGCTGAGCAATAATACCTTCATCTTGCTCAAGAGGAAATCGCGGCTCAGAGCAGTGAGATGACTTGCGCTGGTTAACACAGCAAGGGCAGGGCCGAGCTGACTTGTTCTTGCAGGGCCCCATGTTCTGTGCAAAGTGGCGAGAACATGTCACTTTCTCTCCTCTCCCCCAGGACCTCCCAGGATCCTGCTGCCTGTTCAGAGCTAGAGAGGACGACCTTTGGCTGTGCCCTTACCCTCTCTGTGACTTGACTTCCCCTCCTATAAGGAGGCAGGGGCAATGACTGCCAGATACTTGTGAGCCTCAGTTTCCTCATCTGACAAGTGGAGACAGTCTGGTACCTCCCCCCAGCCCAATGAATTAACCACGGCTGGATTCCAATTAGAAGCCACCGAAGGCCAGGCACAGCGACTCTCGCCTGTAATCCTAGCATCCTGGGAGTCAAATGTGGGAGGACTGCTTGAGGCCAGGAGTGCAAGGCCAGCCTGGACAACACAGTGAGAGCACATCTCTACAAAAATTAGAAAAATTAGCCAGGCATGGTGTTGTACACTTGTAACCTCGTCTACTTGGGAGGCTGAGGAAGGAGGATCACTTGAGCTCAGGAATTTGAGGTTGCAGTGATGTATAATGATGTTACTGCACTCTAGCCTGGGTCACAGAGCAAGCCCTTGTCTCAGAAAAAAAAAGCCACTGCAGAAATTATGTGCCTTCCTCCCGGCATTATATGATTCAAAATAAAAACCGTGAAATAAGTGTAGGCAAGTTCAATGAAGTTCTGAACTTCTTTCCCACTTGTTTTTTTTTTTTTTTTTTTTTTTTAATATAGAAACCTAAACCTTTTCAAAAAATATTCTTTTGGCCACTCATGCTTTGTTGATGCCCTGGGAGAAGGATTGGCATGTGAGATGGTGGTCTGGGGCAGGGAAGGGGTCTGGGTCAGAACGCCTGGGTTTACATCCTGGCTCTACCACATGATAGCTGTGTAGTCTTTGGCAAGTTACATAACCCCTCTGTGCCTCAGTTTCCTTACCTGAAGCTTGGAGCTGAAAATATGGTACCTCCTCATGGGGTTGTTGAGAGAATTAAAAGAGTAATACATGCAAAGTACTTAGAACCATACCTGTTAAGTGCTGATCAAGTTTTTGCTGTTATTATTCATTGAGTCCCTCTGTTGGGTTCTGTCTAGTCCATGTTCCATCAGGAGGGCAGCTAGGTGTGGGGCAGGGTTGGTAGAGTTGACACCTGCAGGTTCCCGGCTCAGTGGGCCTGCTTTACACATGTTTAGTCTTTCTGATTCCAGAACTAATGCATGCTGATTGCAGAGAAATTAGAAAATATAGAAAGGCACAAAAATTATTTACTATGCTACCACTAGATAATCACTAGTATAGATGCTTCTCAACTTAAGATGGAGTGACATCCCAATAAACCCATTGTGAGCTGAAAACATCAGAAGTTGAAAGAAAATGCATTTACTAGACCTAACCTAGCAAACATCAAAGCTTAGCCTGGCCTACCTTAAATGGGTGTAGAAAACTTACATTAGCCTACGATTGGGCAAAAGAAGCTAACACAAGGCCTATTTTATAATGAAGTGTTGAATATCTCATGTAATTTACTGAGTACTAAATGAGAAAAAAGGAATGGTTGTATAGGTACTTGAAGTGTGGTTTCTACAGAATGAGTACCACTTTCATATCATGATAAAGTGAAAAAAACCCAAGTCAAGCCAATGCAAGTTGGGGACCATCTGTATTTGTTTTTATATCTTCTTCTAGGGTTTTATTTGTTGTTTTTTTTGAGGCAGAGTCTCACTCTGTTGCCCAGGATAGAGTGCCATGGCATCAGCCTAGCTCACAGCAACCTCAAACTCCTGGGCTCAAGCAATCCTCCTGCCTCAGCCTCCCGAGTAGCTGGGACTACAGGCATGCGCCACCATGTCCGGCTGATTTTTTCTATATAAATTAGTTGGCCAATTTATTTCTTTCTATTTATAATAGAGACAGGTTCTCACTCTTGCTCAGGCTGGTCTTGAACTCCTGACCTCAAGCAATCCACCCGCCTCGGCCTCCCAGAGTGCTAGGATTACAGGCATGAGCCACCGCGCCCGGCCTGAAATTTATTGAGGTATAACTTATATACAATAAAGTGGACAATCTTAAGTGTATAGTTTTATGAATTTTTATATACAAATACACCTGTGTTAGCACTACTGACATCAAACTAAAGAACATTCTTTATTCTGTATTTGAAAGGTTTTCACATGTCCCTTCCCAGTTAATACTTCTTCAAGGGTAACCATTATCTGGACCCTTAACAGCATAGATTAATTTTGCCTATATTTGAACTTCATATAAATGGAATCACAGAATAAGTACTTTCTGTGTCTTTTTTTTTTTTTGCTAAATATATATGTGAGATTCGTTTTTGAATGTATCACTAGTTCTATCCTTCAGCATCTTGTGATTTTTTAAAAAAAATTTGATGATTAAATCTTTTATTTGTGATTTCTATTAATTTTTTCCATAATAGGCTGTTCTTAATAGATACAATGTCCTTCCTTACCCTTCTGATAATATTGTATATGTTTCAGATATCTCTGCTTGCATCGTTATCTCTGTTTGTTTGGTTGTTATTTCTTCTGTTTATTAAACTGGTCCCTCTCGTTCATGAGTGTTGGTTTTTCTGGAAAGTTTGGTGATTTGTGGATATATGATTTCCTGTTTTCTTTTCTGCGGATGCTATTTCTTTTTACCTAATTTGTTGCTAGCGATTGTGGGCAGAGGGGCAGAACATACTGCAAGAAGTGATATGCTAATAGCTTATCTTGTGAGCACAAGATCTTCCTTTTCCTTCTAGCTATGCCCCTTCTTTTTGTCCCAGAGACCCATGGTCACAGCTCCCAAAGGCTAGCTGGATTAAAGGGCCACCTCCTGGAATGCCCACAAGAGTTCTCACTCCATCTCTTTGACCCTTGACCTGGGGCCTTCGCCCCTCCCTGGAGAATGTGCTGCCTCGGGGTTTGGAACAGCCCAGGGCCACCTCCCCCTTTCACGGCAGTCCCTTCTAGCTTCTGTTCTGGTCTCTGTTTTTGTTCATTAATCTGATTCTGTCTGCCATCCATTTCTTGGGGTTGTCTCAACATTCTTAATCTGCCAGTGGCACCCTTCCTTATTTTCCCATGCTGTTGCAGATTTTACATGGTATTTCTGTGGACTTGGGTAGGAGAGGCTGCTGTGTGTACTTGCTCTTGGTTTTCCTAACTTGATTCATGCTCAAGGTGACTTCTTGGTAGAGTTTTCACCTTCCTGGTCACCTTCATGTGGACGAATTCATTTTTCTCTGAAAATACAATGTCTGAGAACCAAATGGAGTATTCCAACTATGAACTGATCAGTGTAGAATATAGGAATGTAGCACCCTTTCTAGTAAGAGCTGGGTTCAAGTACTACCTCTGCTCTATACTGTCTTGGTCCAGTTTCTTCACCTTTCTCAGCCTCAGTGTTCTTACCTGTTAAATGGGGATGATGATAATAATACCTACTCATAGGGTTAACAAGAATGTTAATTGAAGAGTGGACATAAAGTGTTCAACATGGCCGGGCGCGGTGGCTCATGCCTGTAATCCTAGCACTCTGGGAGGCCGAGGCAGGAGGATCATTTGAGTTCAGGAGTTTGAGACCAGCCTGAGCAAGAGCGAGACCCCTGTCTCTACTGAAAATAGAAAAAATTAGCAAGTCAACTAAAAATGAAACAAAAAAATTAGCCAGGTGTGGTGGCTGACGCCTGTACTCCCAGCTACTCGGGAGGCTGAGGCAGGAGGATCGCTTGAGCCCAGGAGTTTGAGGTTGCTGTAAGCTAGGCTGACGCCATGGCACTCTAGCCCGGGCAACAGAGTAAGACTCTGTCTCCAAAAATAAATAAATAAAGTGTTCAACATGGGGCATGGCACACTGTAGGTATTCAAACATGTTAGTGACCTTCCTCTCTCTTAGTCTGAGCAAATATCTTTAACACACTCCTTGTGCGTGCTGTGCTGGTGGTAGACTTTGGCAGCTACACCATTCCGTTAGCTCATACTGAGCACATCAGCTAAAGCCCTGTCTTTTGTCTCATGAACTCTGCTCAAGCCAAACTTCCCTCCAGCACCCCGCCCCCCCACAAAGGACCTTTACCTTGACCGTAAAGCATTTTATCAAACTGAACTTCCTCCATCTCTAGCCTGAAGAAATTGATCTAAACTCGGATTCCGTCATCCAGTTTATTCCGTGTGCCTCCCGTCTGAATGTCATCCACAGACTTAATGAACAGTTCAGCAGTCAGAACCAGCCATTGATAAAATTATGGCCTGGGATAGGACCAAGGACAGAACCCCGTGGCATGCCACCCTTCCCGGGAAGAGTAATTTAGATGACTGGGAAAGATGATTAATTTGCCCAGTTCCTGTAATAGTATGTCCTCGTGGCTTGATTATAATAATAATATTAGCAACCATGTATTGCATGTTACTCCTCATGGGCCAGGCGCCGAGGTAAGGGTTTTTCACATATTACTTTTATTTCTTATAGCAACTCTGCAAGGTAAGTATTTATATTTTAGGACTTGGTTAAATAAAATAAACTCAACCTAGCTTTAGCAGGAGCGGAACTATGTTATTTATCACAAGGCTCTAAAGTGGGCTTGTGGCTGGGTGTGGTGGCTCACACCTGTAATCCTAGCACTCTGGGAGGCCAACGTGGGAGGATTGCTCTAGGTCAGAAGTTTGAGACCAGCCTGAGCAAGAGCAAGACCTTGTCTCTACTAAAAATAGAAAGAAATTAGCTGGACAACTAAAAATATATAGAAAAAATTACCCAGGCATGGTGGCGCATGCCTGTAGTCCCAGCTACTCAGGAGGCTGAGGCAGAAGGATTGCTCGAGCCCAGGATTTTGAGGTTGCTGGCACTCTATCCCGGGCAACAGTGTGAGACAGTCTCAAAAAATAAAAAATAAAATGAAAAATTATTTGTAACTTTCCAAATAAGGCAAAAATTCCTTTTGCTAATTCCTAC